GTGTCGCAGCGATCTAGTAAAAGACGCTTCTTACCTCTGAAATGTTGTTCAAAGTTGTTAAAGGTGAAAAAAGTATCCTAGAGATCCCTTAAAATCCTGAAACGTTTATAAATCCAGGTGTGAGTGACTGTGGTTCAGAGGTAGTGTTGTTTCTGAGCGCTTTGCCATTTATTAGGGATTAAGCGGCTGTACTGTCAATCATTTTGCTCCAACCCTGGACCTTCACGTTAGCCCCGCCCACTGTGTGGCTTAACTCCACCCACTTGAAGTCAGAGCTCCTCCTCCAACTCATTAGTAGTGTCATTAGTTTTTATGACATACTTGTTGGAGCTATTTATTCTTTATTTATCTATCCATTGGAATTCTGTTAATTAATTCCTAAATTATATATTTGTTTTGTATTATTTACAGAGCTTATTGGCAGGTTAATAATTGTTGAATCTATTTATCTCTGTTTTATTATTTTTCTTATTTATTTTTTGTTCTGAAGTATGACAGGAAGTGATGTGGATCAGTCAACTTTCTATAAGTGTAGGGGCCTGGGAATTCTCTTAATCAAAAGGCAACAAAAACTGTAAATGTGTGTAAACAATTTAATATCTTTTTATAAATGTGTACTTTCCCTGGCAAAATGTGATGATGTAAATTTTCCTTTTTGTTTTGTGGTAAAATGTTAAAACACCAGCAATGTTGGATACTGCACAGTGTACTTATTTTCACAATGGAGACGAATGTTCATGTATTAATGTAAACTGTGCAATTGTTGAAATAAAAAAAAAAAAATAAATAAAAAAGGGGGGGCCTGGGAAAGGACCAGCAGGCATTTGGGGTTTGTGGCCCATGGTTTTTACCAGTGCAAGAGAGGTAGGACAAAAGAAAAGTTGGAACTCTGTGATTGTTAAATAGGAAATAGGATAATAAACCTTCCAGAACCATCATCAAATTTGGACATTGAACCTTCCTTTCCCTGTGTACAGAAACTTGATCCCGGTGCCTTAGTAGTGGCTTAATTGGATGTTTGGCTTGGCAAACAATCACCACTACAATACTGTATATTTGCACTTCTTCACGCTTCCCAAAACTGATGCTGATTTTAATGTGAGAAATTAAGTATTACTATGTATTTGGCTTTGTTGTATAAATTGGAAATCTTCAATAGATAGGTTTCTGGATAACTTTAATTCTGCCAATAAATTCAATTATGCTAAAGTTAACATCCAATAAAAAAATTAAAAATAAAGAGAACATTATAATTGAATAACCTACCGTTAGTCACCATATAAACACTATAATCAGAATAAAGAGTTTTGATTCTCCTATGTAAATGTTTAAATAGTTATGCTAGAAATGTGTGGCTAAAAATGAATTTAGTTAAAGATAAGCCTGCATAGTATATTTAAATACATTTGAATTCCATGAACATTATATAGAAGAGGTCTTAAACAGGGGGTCCGTGACCCCTAAGGGGTCCACAGAGGTACTGCATGGGGGTCGCACAAGTTTTGGTTGATTACACTTTTTTTTATATTCCCCCCTGCAATTTTTTTCCAGTAACTGAAATGTTTTTAAATACACGTTATCATGAATTCAACACACTGTGGTAAACAAATGGAGGCAGAAGATGTCTTTCAATCATCAATGATCACATTCAGCGACAGACAGGAGCTCTTTCAAGCTGGGCACCGTTTCATCCACAACACCTGTCCCATCAACCAGGAACCAGAATCAGAATTACTTTAATAATCCCAGGGAGAAATTACTTTTGTTACATCTGTAATAGAGTGACTATAGGACCAGTTTGATAGAACACAATTTCATACAATATATATGATTAGGGGGGGCCCCGCTCTCGCCATCAGTTTCAGGGTCCTTGGCCTGGAAAACATTGAATATAATAATATATAGCATTTCAATCTGTTTCTGCTGTTTTAATGTTTTCATGGTTATGTTTTTCTGTAATTGTTAATTATAGGTTTCATGTTTAAGCAATGTTTTAAGCATCTTTACATGTTAATACGTTCATCTGAATGCATTTATTACATACCCCATGCACCTTTTCCTCCTTTTGGCACCTTCTTTTGACTATTAAGCCGATGTGACAAAAGAATTTCTCCACTGTGAGATCTTATCTTATCTATGCTTATGTACTTTATTGAATATTTGTATTCATTTTTCCTGATTTTCAGTACTGTTTTATTTATTAAATTCTGCATTTTTTATTGTGGTTGTTGTTTGTATCCGTGTCCCTCTGTGAAACCTAGTACTTCTGGCAATTTATTGTATTAGAAATTTTCGACAGATAAAATTTGTTTTGTTGATGATTGATTGAATGATTGATAAATAGAATGATTTTTTTCTTGTTCTTCAGCTACTTCCGTAGTTTTTCTAAAATACCCGTAACTTTTTATATGTTATATTTTAAACTGATGTCCCAAATGTACTTGTTTTGGGAGTGGAGGCCTAAAGGTTAGGGCATAGAGCTTGGAATCCAGAGGTTCTGAGTTTAAGTCCCACTCCCAGCAAAGACCCTTAACCCCACACTGCTCCCTAAAGCGCCGCACAATGGCAGCCCACTGCTTCCTAAGGGGATGGGTTAAATGCAGAGAGTTCATTTTATTTATCTGTACTTGTGACAGTGTAATGACAATAAAAAAGCTGGAAATGTACTGTTCTGAGATTTTTAAGAGCTAACAAGTGTGCTTTGTTTTGTGTGTTACAGCACCATCTTGTGGTAAGATTTTAAAACTACACCCCTTATCTATGTCAATATACATGCTGTTGATCTCAAGTTTATTAAATTGCAATCAATTATCAGTGTTCTATCCAACATCTTTAATTTTCCAAAATATATCTGAGTTTAACTAAACAACAGTCAATGAAAAGAGGTAAACAGGTGAAGAGCTTGATGTGGGTGACATCATCAGTGACATTAAAACAATGCAAAACTATATTTGATTTAAAGACAGTAAGACCTTGCAGTTTTGTTTTCAGTTTCTTGTAGCCAATCTCAGTGTTTGTCTTTTAGCTGCTTATTATGTTATTTTGCTCACACTGATTGTAATATGACTCCAAACAAACAGTCCAAACAGGCCACCCAGTGGACGCCCATCTGTTACTGCTTGCATATTTAATATCTATTGTTCTTGGCCAGGGTTTGTGGTTTCAGGTCATTTATTTCTCTGTAATCCTTTCACTGTGGTGTGTAATTTGTGCATTTTTATTATACCTTCTGGCTCTTTTTAAAGTTTTGTTTGTTTCTTTTTCTTTAATCATTTTTGTCTTAGTGCTGTTAACCTTAGAAGACCTTTTAACCATGATAAAATCTGAAGCAGAAAATGAACATGTCATACCTTATCAATACATTTAATTGGATAGAGTGCTTTAAACAGCTTTAACCCTCCCAGCAAAATTTCATAACAACAGAAAAAATCTATATATACATATAATCAAATGAGACATCAGATGGAACATTATTTGCATAAAAACAAAGTTTGTTTTCCTTGCATTTATTTCTATTTGCTTCTCACCTTTTCCTTTGTCCCTGCTTCTACCAAATCCTCCCTGAACATAAACAAATCTATGAGCTTTCTCTGTGAACTTCTTCATCCTCATATCCTGCAGCTCTAGATCACTGTTCCTGCACTGCACATATCCTGATATTGTATAGCTCATTGTGTCTTTAGACTGCTTTAGCTGACTTCAGATATTGCAGATAAGTCTGCTTTTATATTTTTGTGGACTTTAGTGGCCTTCAGTAATCAGATGGGAAAAGGCAGGAAGACAAAAAGGTCATAAAATAGAGAATTTGAACCCTGAAATTAACGCTTAAGACTGTATAAATGAAGCACCTGCTCTATTGTTACACCACAGGGCAACCCGAGTTCCTGCACCGTCTGATCACCTAAAGTTTCAACTTGTCTCTTTTCGTCAATCAATTTTAAAACGGGTCTCACTGTTACCTGCTACACCTGTTTATTCTCTTCTGCATCCATCCATGTGCCACAGATTTCTCAGGACAAAAAAATATAAAAAAAATAGGCAGAATGGGCTCAATTTAGAGTATTTTGAGAAAAACAGATCAGTTATCAGTATCAATTTTTTGTCTTGTTCATCACATAGTAAAATATGCTGAATGTTTTTGACTTTTGTTGTTGTTGTTAAAGATGCTGTGTTGTATTCCATTTAACAAGTCTTCCTAAATAAACAAATGTGGTGTTTTAACAATGCAGTTTAAATTCCTGCAGTGAAAACATACATTTGATTAAAAATACCAGTGTTTTTTTTAGTGTTTTTGTTGCATTTTTTTCTCTTTATGAATACTGTATTAAAACTATTTTCAATTGTAAATAAAGAAAATATTAGAAAATATTTTTAACTTTTTGAGTTTACAAGGGATTTTTTTGCATCACTCTTACATTAAAATAAATTTTGTTAACCTGCGTTTGTTTTTTTACATTTAATGCTCAATGTTTGCAAGCAAATAAATGTTGTTTTTTTATCGATCAATAAAGTTTAAAATTATTTTAAACAATGCAGATTTTATATTTAAGAGTCCTAAACAAGATTTAGCAGATGGACAAAGTCACCTATAAAGTCACAAAAATAACCTTAGTTCTTAGTTTATTTATAACTGATCGTATTTATCTGGTGGGCTTCTTGTTTTGTCAATATAAAAGAAAAAATATTGTAGTTAATTTATAACAAACAAACAAATTTTAGTTAGGTATTTTAGTTATTTTATCTTTTTGTGCAGCACTTTGGAAACCCTGTGTTTATTTAAACCGTGTTATATAAATAAAGTGGATTGGAAAATTGTAAAATAATTATGTGTTGCAGGATAATGTTGAGAAAGCTGCTTGGTTTTATTCAAAAATGTTAAGTCCTCCCTAAAAAATGAAACCTTGTTTATGGCCGCCATGAACTTTGCACCGCCCCTGATCAGATAAGCTAATCATCATTTCTCTCATCTCCATTTTCGTGACGTCACGGGGTCGGCGCTCGTGCGGCTCCGTATCAGGAGCTCGCGGGGAAACAGGGAAGCTTGGGGGAAAGTCTTCAGACGAAGCTCGGCTTCAGAGCGAGTTTCCACCGGAGACTGGATGCGGATAAAACGGAGAACAGCTCCCGGGTTCAGAGGCAGAGTCTCTATCCGCTCCTGGAAGCCGTTCGGAGCTGGAAAGTTCTCGGTGTTTAGGTGAACTTGTCCCCGCTGGACGCTGTGTTTAGGCTGCAGGTTATCGACGGAGGAACCGGAGAAGAAGAAGAAGAAGGGAGGGGAGATGGGAATGCGGTTTCTCTGCTAAACAGGGGCTCCCTTTTTTATTCAGACACTGAAACCTCCAAAAAACAATTTAAGAGGCATAAAGCGTCATGGCAGAGGCTCGGGCAGAAGAAGAGGAGGAAAACCTGAGGAGGGACACGCGAGAGCAAGTGGTCCGCAGACAGCCGAGCAGCTCCGGAGGTAAAAAAGCTCCAGTTAGTGGCCTGTTTGCACCTGCTCACACCACAGTTTATCAGTAAGATGGGAAAAAAAAACTAACGAGATTTTAAACACACGAGAAATACCTTAACTATTGAGTCTCCACACAATAAACCTTGAATAAAAACTCAATGAAAGCGCGCTGTCTCTTTAAAGGCGCCGCAGAGAGCTGGGATGTTTGGAGGATTTCTGAGGAATGTCACACTGCAGATAACTCTGATAGGGAAGAGGATTAGGGCCACTGGGAAAATATAAACAAAGTTAACTGGTTTTTAAATAATCTTTCAGTTTAATTTAGGAAAAAAGTCAGAATTCTGACTTTAATCTCTGAATTCTGACTTTTTTTTCTCACAATTCTGACACATTAATCTTATAATTCTGATACTTTATTCTTATGATTCTGACACATTAATCTTAGAATTCTGACACTTTAATCCTGGAATTCTGACACTTTAATCCTGGAATTCTGACACTTTAATCTTGGAATTCTGACACTTTAATCTCAGAATTCTGACACTTTAATCTCAGAATTCTGACACTTTAATCTCAGAATTCTGACACTTTAATCTCAGAATTCTGACACTCTAATCTCAGAATTCTGACACTTTAATCCTGGAATTCTGACACTTTAATCTCAGAATTCTGACACTCTAATCTCAGAATTCTGACACTTTAATCCTGGAATTCTGACACTTTAATCTTGGAATTCTGACACTTTAATCTCAGAATTCTGACATTTAAATCTCAGAATTTTGACACTTTAATCTCAGAATTTTGACACTTTAATCTCAGAATTCTGACACATTAATCTCAGAATGCTCTCACTGTAATCTTAGAATTCTGACACTTTAATCTCAGAATTCTGACTATTTTATGACAGCTAACAGACATGTTAGCATCAAGCCGTAGCCATGTCCGTTTTAGAGACTAAACTAGCTCTCTTGTTTTAATCACCTTCTGCTCTTCCATTAATGAAATAGCATCACCGGGGACCCCTTAGACGCGTAAAAAGTCGCCTAATTCTGTAATTTTCCACCAATGTGTTACTGGCACTGCCAAACAACTCACATCTTTGTCAGTGAAGCTGAGTGCTCCCACATCTCTTCCTTCATGGTTCCCATCTACATTAAGATCCTTAATTCTGAGATGAAAGTCAGAATTCAGACTTTCCAGTGGCCCTATCCCTCTTCCGTACACTGACCTTCCTCTATTTGGAAAAATAACAACTTATAACTTAAATAGAAACACTCAATAGAAGAGTATAAAGGTAGCTTTTCAAATATAACTATTTAGCCTTTACATTTCCTATTAAACATAAGGTTAAGTAACTGTTGGATGATATTACTTTAAACTTGGGATGTTATGATAATAAACTTTCGGACTCAGGAAAATATTAGATGCTCTAATTTATTTTCAATATCATGGAATAAAAACATGTTTAAAGACATAAAAAAATGGTTATTTTCATGAGAATCTCACATTTTCAATGTCAGCATTTTCTAAACAGAATCAAAGGTAATATAAGTTAAATAAGTTTACAAATAAATGTTAAATAAACATAATATAATTGTACTTTATTGATCTCACATTGGAGAAATTTAACCCATCCCACTGGGGAGCAGTGGGTTGCCATTGTGCGTTGCCCGGGGAGCAGTGTGGGGTTAAGGGTCTTGCTCGGGGACCCAGAGAATTTTTTTTTTTTTTTTAGTTGCAAGTTTTTTAATGTATATATTTTCAAGTTGCACATTTTTCAGAGAGTGGAGTCCAGCTTTGCAAATCTAACACGTTATTTTCGAGTTTCCTGCTTCAGCTAACAGGATCACTCTGGTGTTGCTAAAGGAAAACATCTGGCAGGATTATCA